ATACACCTATATTCAACGCACATACACCTATATTCAACGCACATACAACCATCCTCAACGCACATACACCCATATTCAACGCACATACAACCATCCTCAACGCACATACACCCATATTCAACGCACATACACCTATATTCAACGCACATACAACCATCCTCAACGCACATACACCCATATTCAACGCACATACACCCATATTCAACGCACATACACCCATATTCAACGCACATACAACCATCCTCAACGCACATACACCCATATTCAACGCACGAACACACAGGAAAATACTTAGAGTACACCCTTTAAAATGTATTTAATGCTCTTCAAAACCCAGTACACCGTATAGAGGAATTTGAACCCGTCGCAGAAGTTAGCACACAACACAGTGTGATACGCCGGAAACAAATTAGTTGAAAGCAAACAAAAACCCCCATTTTATACTCACCAAAAAATTCAACAGGGAATTACCTCCCATCAGGATTAAACTCCATAAATTTGCAGGAAGCTATCCATCTCTCGGTCCACCCGGGCTGGCGGCCTCCTCGCTCTCCTCCGGTTCCATCTATCTTCAAGGCTCCAGCGGTCTTTGCTTGCGGGGGTCTGGGCGAATGGAGCGGTCTTTGCTTGCGGGGGTCTGGGCGGATGGAGCGGTCTTTGCTTGCCGGAGGGGTCTGGCCGGATGGAGCGGTCTTTGCTTGCGGGGGTCTGCTCGGATGGAGCGGTGTTTGCTTGCGAGGGTCTGGTCGGATGGAGCGATGTTTGCTTGCGGGGGTATGGTCGGATTTAGCGGTCTTTGCTTGCCGGGGGGGTCTGGTCGGTTGGAGCGGTCTTTGCTTGCCGGGGGTCTGGTCGGATGGAGCGGTGTTTGCTTGCGGGGGGTCTGGTCGGATGGAGCGGTGTTTGCTTGCGGGGGTCTGGTCGGATGGAGCGGTCTTTGCTTGCGGGGGTCTGGGCGGATGGAGCGGTCTTTGCTTGCGGGGGTCTGGGCGGATGGAGCGGTCTTGCTTGCGGGGGTCTGGGCGGATGGAGCGGTGTTTGCTTGCGGGGGTATGGTCGGATGGAGCGATGTTTGCTTGCGGGGGTCTGGGCGGATGGAGCGTCTTTGCTTGCCGGAGGGGTCTGGCCGGATGGAGCGGTCTTTGCTTGCGGGGGTCTGCTCGGATGGAGCGGTGTTTGCTTGCGAGGGTCTGGTCGGATGGAGCGATGTTTGCTTGCGGGGGTCTGGTCGGATTAGCGGTCTTTGCTTGCCGGGGGGGTCTGCTCGGATGGAGCGGTCTTTGCTTGCGGGGGTCTGGTCGGATGGAGCGGTGTTTGCTTGCGGGGGTCTGGTCGGATAGAGCGGTCTTTGCTTGCGGGGGTCTCGCCGGATGGAGCGGTCTTTGATTGCGGGGGGGGGGGGTGTGGTCGGATGGAGCGGTCTTTGCTTGCGGGGGGGGGAGTCTGGCCGGATGGAGCGGTCTTTGCTTGCGGGGGGGTCTGGCCGGGTGGAGCGGTCTTTGCTTGCGGGGGGGGGGAGTCTGGCCGGATGGAGCGGTCTTTGCTTGCGGGGGGGGGGGGTCTGGCCGGGTGGAGCGGTCTTTGCTTGCGGGGGGTCTGGCCGGATGGAGCGGTCTTTGCTTGCGGGGGTCTGGCCGGATGGAGAGATCTCTGCGGGAGTCTGGCCGGATGGAGTAATCTTTGCGAGTGTGCCGCGGATCGGAGGGTGAGAGATTCTTTGAGCTCCTCGCTGTTTGATCAGTTAGACTGCTTCCCGTCGAGCTGTTGTTTGTGGCACTCTCTCAGGTTCAAGCAGCTTGTTATTGTTGGTGCTCTGTTTGTGGGGTTGTCTGTGGAGTAGGGGAGTGAGAGGGGAGAGAAGGAGGGGGGGGTTATGAAAGGGGTGTAAATTTTTATCTCTGCTCTAATACACTTTCATCCAATATTTACGACTCATCAATAAGCTTTTACTAAAATTAGGAAGAGGAGTGGTAGAGCTGTGGTGGTTTATATATATATATATATATATATATATATATATATATATATATATATATATATATATATATTGTTTAACCTATCTCAGTAGCCAAAAGCATGCATACGTACCGTTGATTAAGTTCGACATTATCAATATAGTTGTAGAGATGGTAAATGGTTGGAAATTAATATCCTGTGTCTAAAGCGTGGCCAGATAGCATCAGTAATTGACTGACACGCAGAGCCTCGTTCATATCAATCACTGTCAGAAGAGACGTGCATTTTTCAGTATCTAACCTCCATTACAGGAGTATAGAGAGGGAGACAGAGAGAGAGACAGAGAGACAGAGACAGGGAGAGACTTGGGTTGGAGGCAAGAATAGAAATAATTTAATTTACAATATAATTTCTCGCATTTGGCTTTTCTTCCCCAGACATTTCTTATGCGGAGAGAATTGCCTACTGACCCTCTCGTAAAACATTTTACAAGGGACGTGACACACACACGTGTAGTGAGAGTACGATATTGACGTATTGGATGACACGGTGTGTGTGTGTGTGTACTCACCTAGTTTTACTCACCTAGTTGTGCTTGCGGGAGCTGAGCTCTGGCTCTTTGGTGACGCCTCTCAACTGTCAACTGGTGTACAGATTCCTGGGTCTACTGGGCTCTGTCCAATCTACATTTGAGACTGTGTATTGGAGTCTGCCTCCACCACGTCATACCTCCACCATGTGTGTGTGTGTGTGTGTGTGTGTGTGTGTGTGTGTGTGTGTGTGTGTGTGTGTGTGTGTGTGTGTGTGTGTGTGCGCACGCAGAGAGAGAGCGACCCCCACACACAACTCCAACACTACAACGCTGGCCACTACGACAGTCAGATCAATAATCCACGATACACGGCGCCCTAGTCCGGTTAAATGGAGGGCAGATGCGGGGGAGGGGGGGGGGAGGAGGGGCAGAAGGGGAGAAGAGATGTCAGAGAGAACTGAAGAGATGTGATGATATGAGAGAGGAGGGTGGGGGGGTTGTGTCTGAAGTACATGAGACCGTCACTCTAGCAACCAGGCCATGGATGCTCACAATAAGAAAAACAGTTCTTGGGAGTACCTACCTGATACTCAACTGAGACTCTAAATCTTACTTATGTAGGAAGGGGCAGCTGAGTATACCTAAGTACAGGGTTCCTCTCCCGGCAACGGGAATTATTAAGAATTCCTCTTTGTCCCATTTATTATTTTATGTCCATTTCCACTACGTCCACTTCCTCCTCGTTCATTTCCCCTTTTCCCATTTCCCCTCATCGTCCTCATCCCCCCTCGTCTTCTCCTCGTCTTCTCTTCCTCTCCCCAATCATCGGGGTGCCGCTATAATTTCACCAGGGCATGAAGAAAATTAATTACTTTCGAGAAAAAAAATCCGGACATGTAATTAGCTTCTCGAAGCCATCAGGAAAAACAATTACCTTTGGCAGTGTGTTAAGTAAGATATAAATATTTAATTTAGTCGACTCGGCACACCAATAGAGCAACCTTTTTCCAGGTGCAGGGAGAATATATAAGAAAAATATATAAGAACATATTTAACGTCATCAGGAGAGATAATATTGTGCAGTTTGTGATTTTTTTGTGTTGAGTCTGTTGTGGTCTGGTGGCTATGTAGCGAGTATATCGCCTTGAGATGGAGCCTAACCATCTTATGTAAACTATGCTACATCTTACTTTAACCTGTAAACTCATTTCTAAACTTCATAGAGTGAATGAGCTCTTGTTCATTATCTAGAGGGAATGTTTTTTGTCTGTCTCGGCCTCTCTCTCTCTCTCTCTCTCTCTCTCTCTCTCTCTCTCTCTCTCTCTCTCTCTCTCTCTCTCTCTCTCTCTCTCTCTCTCTCTCTCTCTCTCTCTCCATTTATCTAGCCCTACAAAAAAGCCTGGGAAGGTTTCCTGGGGTTTCTAACGTCTTGGGATAATGAGGCTTTAGTTTGGTGCGGGTTTTTGTTCCTGCGTGTAAATGAGGAGGTAATTGGCTGTTTAGCATAGTAAAGAGGAGATGGGCTCGTTCGAAGACCTCCAACCAGCTTCTCCACCTCTGTCTTAGACACCTGCAGCTGCTGCTGCTGCTGCTGCCGATCGAGGTTTGTATATCTTTTTTATCATTTATTTTGTGTGTGTGTTCGTTCACATACATATGAAACCGGTGTTTGAACCATGCTTGAAACTACCATTCACACGGGTCTCTAATGTTTACATTTCACAATCAGAAACGAGAGAGAAATGAAGGTTTTCTCCAAATATCTAGCAGAAAATATTCCTATTTTGCTACATTTCAACATTTTTTATAACACATGTAAAACTATTTTGCATGGGTCTGTTTTACATATCTCACGTTTGAAGGTGGTAGTGAGTATTTGGGTCAATTTATTTTGTTCTTGAGTATAACAGAACGATCTTCACTCTGCGAGTGAAGATCTTACGAGAGTTCTGTGTGTTGGTCAATACAAGTCTAAACACAGCCTTTCCTCTCGTATAACACGGCGGATTTTGACGTCAAAATTCCAAACAGACACAATATGATGTATTATAATTCATCAAATATGATGTATTATAAATCATCAAAATATGATGTATTATATATCACAGCGGTTCGAAAACATTCACGTTTTCTATGCTAGGTGTTGCTCGGTTATGTTAAGTTCGGGTGTGTTAGTACAGCGTTTTTTGTCCGTTGTGACAACTTGAGAGAACTGGCTGTGTAACGAACAGTCTGTTTAATACTTATCTTAACGAACTATCTGTTGAGTAATACAGATTTTAACGAACTATCTTGTAACTAATACTAAGCGTTAATGAACAATCTGGGGGATAATTCAGGTCTTGAAGAACTCATATGTATCCTGTATTAACTGCTGCTACATAGCCTTCCCGGCTTGGTGCCTTGTGTGGATATTGCTTACTTTATTAACTTCAATAATATGTATGTATTTTAATGTTTCATTGGCATATATTGGAGCTATAAGCGTGCGTACCTACCCCTACAGATTCAGCGCCGGTACTGGAATATCGCTTCATAAGTCAGACGTTGCAGCCGGGCCCCTCAGTGAGCTTAAAATGTATCGCGTCAGGGGCACCAACCCCTCACGTCTCCTGGACTCTTGATGGCTTCCCCCTCCCGCAACATGACAGGTCAGTTAACGCTGGTAATAACTATAATTATGCTACCTGAGCCATTAAAGAACCGATTGGTTCAAATACTTGTCAGTTTTATTATCTAACAAGGTGCAGTGTTTACTATAGGGTTAATGATGATGTTGGTACTCCTGTGTATGTTTTCGCGGGTTGTCGTAACCGCAATTCAGTGTTGTGTATGGGACATTTTTAGCATTAAAAGATATGCATAAAAATGCGGAAAGGAGTGCCTTTAACGCATGGTTTTAAGGCTAGAGTTAGTGGGGGGGTTGGATAGGGTGAGGAGGACGCAAGGAGAGGCGCGTGACTAAGGATAGCGGCCATAGAGAGCTGTTAATAACGATAGGATACTCTCGTGGTGGCAGTAGAGATGGGGGTGAACTGCTGGTCATAACCATAACTCTCCATGACAATGGTTGCCCTGCAGGACATTTTCCTGGTTGGTTAGATCCCACCCTCTGTGTGTGTGTGTGTGTGTGTGTGTGTGTGTGTGTGTGTGTGTGTGTGTGTGTGTGTGTGTGTGTGTGTGTGTGTCTGTGTGTGTGTCTGTGTGCGTGTGTATGTGTGTGTGTGTCTGTGTGTGTGTGTGTGTGTGTGTGTGTGTGTGTGTGTGTGTGTGTGTGTGTGTGTGTGTGTGTGTGTCTGTGTGTGTGTCTGTGTGTGTGTGTATGTGTGTGTGTGTCTGTGTGTGTGTGTGTGTGTGTGTGTGTGTGTGTGTGTCTGTGTGTATGTGTCTGTGTGTGTGTCTGTGTGTGTGTGCGTGTGTGTGTGTGTGTGTCTGTGTGTGTGTGTGTGTGTGTGTGTGTGTCTGTGTGTCTGTCTGTGTGTCTGTGTGTGTGTGTGTGTGTGTGTGTGTGTGTGTGTGTGTGTGTGTGTGTGTGTGTGTGTGTGTGTGTGTATAGGGTGGGGTAGGCCGTCCCGCTCTGCGTGTGGGTCTGTTCCTCTCTCCTTGTGTCTGAGTGTATGGCGGCGTCTGTGTACATGGAGTTTTTTAAGTGTTTTCATTACATCGAGTCAGTAACTGTGTCAGTCAGAATTGTCGTTATATGGGTTATCTCTTAAGATTTTTTTTAATTGCGTGAAGGCGTTGTGTTTAGACTTGCCAGTGGTGCCAATCAGGGCTTAGACCGTGTCGTGGAACCTGAAATCCATGTGGGCTCAGGTAATATCATTTGGTGCTTTGAGAGCGAGTGTGTTGTAGAGTCTACGGGCGTTTTTTGAACGGAAATTGGATGGCAACGCTAGAGTTTATTGTGGTGGAGGGTTGTGTGGTAGTGCCATCAATGTTGTGGCTATGTGGCGTTATTGCCTGATGTCACTTCGAGACGTTGTGGTATCAGAGCAACAATGTAGCATGCACATAGTACCTAAATGGCAATGTGGTATTGGCACATAGTACCAGGAAATGTTACCACATTTGAAGGAGAGACCCAACACCAATATGATTTTCACCTCTCCGCTTTATCTAACAAAGCTGCAACTACCTCCCAACTACCAATACATTGGGATTCCTCTCCGGGAGCTTCACGTATACTCCACGAGAGGTGATTGATGCCGCCACCAGCCGGAAAAGGGAAATAGAATTTCGGTTCCGTTCATAAGTCTATTTTCAGGGCAGATACTATCACTCGACACCACCAAAAGCTGCAAATAATATATATATATATATATATATATATATATATATATATATATATATATATATATATATATATATACATATATATATATATATATATATATATATATATATATATATATATATATATATATATATATATATATATATATATATGTAGTCATCAGCATCTCGTGTGATGTATTTCTACTCCACTCGTTACCACACAGCAATCATTGGTTTCTTTGGCAGAGAATTTAATTGGTTTTCTTTGAGTGTTAGTGAGGATATCTGACACTGGTGCGTGTATCCCACCTGGTTCTCCCCGTCTCTGAGGTGAACCGTATGAATACACTCTTGACTTGCTGTATTCAGCCCTCTCCCAGAGTGAGGTCTCCTCCCTCACTGTCCTCCTCCCGAGCTGTGATCACCCCTCTCTCTCTCTCTCTCTCTCTCTCTCTCTCTCTCTCTCTCTCTCTCTCTCTCTCTCTCTCTCTCTCTCTCTCTCTCTCTCTCTCTCTCTCTCTCTCACTGTGATCAATATTCTCTCTCTCCTTCCCTACCTATTTACGTTCACCTATCTTACTTCCGCTTATTCCCCAACTTCATTCAGGTTTCCATATCATGTTTCACATCCTTCCTCCCCTCTGCGACCAAAGATAGTCACTTGGACACACACACACAATCTGCATTTCTGCCTGTTCCACTTCACCCCTATTCCTCTTCCCCATTCCTCTCCGACCAACTGACCTACTCGCAGCGACTACATCACCTCCCTTCCCGCTGGCACCAACAGGCTGGTGGTGGGTCAGTACGTGGGGATGGGCGGGGCGGTGGTGAGCCACGTCAACCTGACGGGCGTGAGGGCGGAGGACGGGGGCGCCTACACCTGTATCGCCGCCAACAGGGCGGGGTCCGCCTCCCACACCGCCAAGCTCAACGTCTACGGTAAGTTCAGTGAGGTTTGGGTCGAGACGTTGAACCTGAAATACGTTTATTGAGGTAAAATACACACAAAGGGATGAGGTAGCTCAAGCTATTCTCACCCCGTTCAGTACAACGTGTTCATACATATATAGACACACACATCACAAATAATAGTTGACCAGACCACACACTAGAAGGTGAAGGGACGACGACGTTTCGGTCCGTCCTGGACCATTCTTAAGTCACAATCAACTTGAGAATTGTCCAAGACGGACCGAAATGTCGTCGTCCCTTCACCTTCTAGTGTGTGGTCTGGTCAACTTACTTTAGCCACGTTATTGTGACTCATCGTCTGCATCACAAATAATAAACATATTGACGAACATTCTGAGAGATAAATATATACATTTCCTCCCAGGTTGAGACGTTGGTGAGATCTTTTAATAGATTTTTCCCATTGCTGAAAATATGCAGCAATGGAAAGTTATATTTTATCACAGGTATTGTATTGTATTCTAGTGTGTTTGTGTGTAAGTCTAAATTTTCTCGCTAATCTCGATCTCATTTTTTTTAGCATGTTCAGGTATTTCGCCATAAGAAAGGTTACATAGTGTGTTAAGAGCTAACTACGTGATGCTAAATAATGCCTATCTCCCAGGATGGTTAGTCGTACCATGTGATCAATAGCCTGTATTAATAGCTTCATAGTGCAGCCGAAAGTTAGCAAGAATTTTTTTTTTTTTTTTTTTATTAAGTTATGAGGTACATCTGCATTAGTGCAGCTACCCTAGACTATATGAAGTGGAGTACAGTGTGTCAAAAAAAGCTAACTAGGTGATGCTATAAAATCCCCATCACACAGGATGGTTAGTCATACAGAGGCATGTGATAAGCGGTCTGCACTGGCAGACTCCGGATGCATTTTGAGGATATCAACAACACAAGATTGAATAAGGTAGCAGTGGTAATACAAGTCCCCATCTCGCAGGATAACGCGAATATTTTTTCGCAAGTCTACGGTCCCGACCCGCCCCGTTTCACTACCTCGCTTCATGCATATAATTCGCTGTAACGTTTAAACTATACTACAAGAGACTACAATTGGTCACGCTTTTCTGTTCTTATGCGTAGCAGAGATTTCTTGGTATAATATATGTTTTGTCTAAAGTCACACTGTAATAAGATTATTACTATTTTAGCATAACTATTATGAGTTGGGTACTTTTTGAGTATTAAATTTAAATAATATTTTAAAATATTAACATATAAGATTTGATATTTTGCCTATTGTATAACTGAGAATTCTCTGGAGTTATTCGTAAAAAATCGAATAATTATCCCAAAGTTTATCTGACTAACAAATGATGACTAACATCTGACTAACGAATCAGATGACTAAGTTCGTCTGATTTAACAAAAATCCTTAATTTTGTTTCATTTAACCGTTGTTTGTGGCATTGTGGCCACCGCATAAAACAAAAATTTGGCTTTGAATAATATATTTGTTCCATAATATTAGCATTGTTAAAAGTTGCCTTCCATATTACATAAATAAATACATTTTTGTTCTGCCATACACCCAACTTAATTTATGTTTGTGAAAACGTGCACAGGCGAGATTTGTTTTCAGAATATGAATAGCAAATCCGTTTTTTCTGATTATTAATCCCTTTAAAAACATTATTGTATATTCCTTCTATAATATATATCATAGCAACATTATATAATTACTTTCAGGGCACTGGTATTGTTTAGTACTTCCTTATAATATATGGAAGATAAGCAGATTATTTTATTATCTCTTAAGTATATCTTATCAAATTTGTTGCATACAAAAATGTCGGGTTATCACTATTTAATTTGTTGCATAAGCACTCATGCAATACATAGCGAGCAGAGCAGTGCCATAGCGTCCAGAGTAGGGGCCACATAGCGGCCAGAGCAGGGCCACATAGCGGCCAGAGCAGGGGCCACATAGCGGCCAGAGCAGGGCCACATAGCGGCCAGAGCAGGGGCCACATAGCGGCCAGAGCAGGGCCACATAGCGGCCAGAGCAGGGCCACATAGCGGCCAGAGCAGTGCCATAGCGGCCAGAGCAGGGGCCACATAGCGGCCAGAGCAGGGCCACATAGCGGCCAGAGCAGGGGCCACATAGCGACCAGAGCAGTGCCACATAGCGGCCAGAGCAGGGGCCACATAGCGGCCAGAGCAGGGGCCACATAGCGGCCAGAGCAGGGGCCACATAGCGGCCAGAGCAGGGCCACATAGCGGCCAGAGCAGTGCCACATAGCGGCCAGAGCAGGGGCCACATAGCGGCCTGAGCAGGGGCCACATAGCGGCCAGAGCAGGGCCACATAGCGGCCAGAGCAGGGGCCACATAGCGGCCAGAGCAGTGCCACATAGCGGCCAGAGCAGGGGCCACATAGCGGCCAGAGCAGGGGCCACATAGCGGCCAGAGCAGGGGCCACATAGCGGCCAGAGCAGGGGCCACATAGCGGCCAGAGCAGGGCCACATAGCGGCCAGAGCAGGGGCCACATAGCGGCCAGAGCAGGGGCCACATAGCGGCCAGAGCAGGGGCCACATAGCGGCCAGAGCAGGGGCCACATAGCGGCCAGAGCAGGGGCCACATAGCGGCCAGAGCAGGGGCCACATAGCGGCCAGAGCAGGGGCCACATAGCGGCCAGAGCAGGGGCCACATAGCGGCCAGAGCAGGGCCACATAGCGGCCAGAGCAGGGCCACATAGCGGCCAGAGCAGGGGCCACATAGCGGCCAGAGCAGGGCCACATAGCGGCCAGAGCAGGGGCCACATAGCGGCCAGAGCAGGGGCCACATAGCGGCCAGAGCAGGGGCCACATAGCGGCCAGAGCAGGGGCCACATAACGGCCAGAGCAGGGGCCACATAGCGGCCAGAGCAGGGGCCACATAGCGGCCAGAGCAGTGCCACATAGCGGCCAGAGCAGGGGCCACATAGCGGCCAGAGCAGGGCCACATAGCGGCCAGAGCAGGGGCCACATAGCGGCCAGAGCAGTGCCACATAGCGGCCAGAGCAGGGGCCACATAGCGGCCAGAGCAGGGGCCACATAGTGGCCAGAGCAGGGGCCACATAGCGGCCAGAGCAGGGGCCACATAGCGGCCAGAGCAGGGGCCACATAGCGGGCAGAGCAGCGCCACATAGCGGCCAGAGCAGGGCCACATAGTGGCCAGAGCTGTGCCACATAGCGGGCAGAGCAGGGGCCACATAGCAGTAGCAACATGACTCTCCACCTACATCCCCACCCATCCAACAGGACCGGCGTATGTCCGGCCTATGTCAGTAGTGACGGCGGTGGCCGGGGAACACCTCCTTATATCCTGTCCGGCGGCCGGATACCCGCTCGCCCAGATCACCTGGTCCCGAGGTCAGTCGCCTTATACTGCATTTGGTTGTGGGATCTGTCGGTATATATGTGACTGTGTGAGCTGTCGGTATATCTGTGACTGTGTGAGCTGTCGGTATATCTGTGACTGTGTGAGCTGTCGGTATATATGTGACTGTGTGAACTGTCGGTATATATGTGACTGTGTGATTTGTCGGTATATGTAATTGTCTGTGGTGTTGATATATGTGGCTGTGTGAGGTAAGTATATATATATATATATATGACCTAGTGCGGTGTTTATATAATCAAATAATCCATGATTATTCTTCATTAACTTATTAAAATATTACTTATATGCAGATTTATAACTTCAACGAATACTATGCAAAAAAAAGAATGACTTTTACAAAAAAGTTATAATATTTTTATAAGCGGCAATTACAAAAAGCTATTTTCTCTCTTAATTGAATAAAATCAACATGCTTTGAGTCCTTAACGGGTGTTATATGCTCAACTATAATATATATATAATATACGTGCCCTGATACATGACAGTTTGATACATAGACACATATGAATTACATACACACGTCACGGTAAAGATTGTTTCTCACACTGAGGCAGTATTTTCCTCTGGGTTAATGTTTCTCACTATGAGGCAATATTTCTTCTCCAGACTAATGTTTCTCACTCTGATACAATATTTCTCCAGGTTAATGTTTCTCACTCTGATACAATATTTCTCCAGGTTAATGTTTCTCACTCATGCAATATTTCTCCTCCAGGTTAATGTTTCTCACTCTGATACAATATTTCTCCAGGTTAATGTTTCTCACTCATGCAATATTTCTCCTCCAGGTTAATGTTTCTCACTCTGATACAATATTTCTCCAGGTTAATGTTTCTCACTCATCCAATATTTGTCCTCCGGGCTAATGTTTCTCACTCTGATACAACTTTTCCGCTGCAGAGGGTCGAACCCTGCCGGTAACAGCGCGACAGAACGTGTTCGAAAACGGTACTCTGGTGGTGAGAGATGTGCAGAAGTCTGCTGACGGCGGGTCTTACAGCTGCACCGCCCATGACAAGCAGGGCAGAACCCACTCTGCTACTGCCTCTGTGCAGGTCCTTGGTGAGTGCCTAGGTCCTCCGACGGCAGACTTCAGGTCTGGGCGGAGGGCGCTCCTGTAGGAGGTGGAGGAGGAGGTGGTAGGATGATTAAGGGAGCCCCATGAAGGGGGTAGTTTAGTAGTTCAATGCGACCTAGAGTTGTTTTTTTTTACATTGCATCATAGTAACTTGTTATCTTGAACTGAATGAATATAGTCTTTGAGGGAACTGATAACATCTTGTGAGGGATTATGTTTGGTAGTTGTTTTTTAGTGGTGTGAATCGTACTGTGTGTGTGTGAGAGAGAGAGAGAGAGAGAGAGAGAGAGAGAGAGAGAGTAACACACTCGAGGAGTGTCAGTGGCAGGACCCACATAGTACCATTACCACAGTGCCTCCCAAGCTGAGTTCCTTCGACATGCGTCGCGACCTGGCACTGGGTGAACGGGTGTCGGTCCAGTGTACCGTCAACGGCGGTGACACGCCCCTGCAGATCCGCTGGACCAAAGATGGCGTCCCGGCAGACAGCATCGCCGGGACGCAGGTGCGGCCGCTGGACCAATACTCCACCATCCTCACTATCAACCACCTCACGCCCCTACACACCGGCAACTACACCTGCACCGCCGCCAACGACGCCGCCACCGTCCACCACACCGCCTCGCTCAACGTCAATGGTAACTGTCACGTGTTTATTCTCTTAGTCTGGTTCTCTTACGTTATCTCTCACGTTCTCTCCCCCCCTCTGGCCGCTGTGATGACGCTGGTTCTCTCCCCGATGCTCTGGTTCTCCTCGACGTCTCTAGTTCCCCCTACCATCAATCCCTTTAGCTTCGGAGAGGCGAGTGAGGGCGAGCGCGTACAGGTGATCTGCACGGTGAGGCGCGGAGACTCGCCTCTCACTCTCACCTGGCTCAAAGATGGCGTGCCATTAGCCCAGGATCCACCCACTGGCCTCACACTGCGTCCTCTGGACCAGTACTCCAGCGCCCTGCTGCTGGAGCACGCCCACGCCCACCACAGTGGCAACTATACCTGCCAGGCCGCCAACGCCGCCCGCAGCGCCTCTCAGTCGGCAACACTCGTCATTAAAGGTAAGTCCAAGACAACACCTCGCAACACAATCCTACTCTACAGCGCTCATATTGGCTTCAATAGCTCACACTAACATCAGTTATACGTAATATTCACCCTTTTAGTAACTAGGCTCATTGCTAGCTCAACTAGATACATATATTACACAGCATGAATTAATTATTCGCATAACTTATATTACAGTTTGCAAGAAAACATGTGAGCATCTACGAGATGCTCGAATTAAATCTTAAAATTGGAACGAATCTTTAATCATTAAATCTCATATACATTTTATGCAAATAAGTAAAACACTAGAACCAAAAATATACATTTTTTGAAGGCTTCCATTGTCAGGCAATTTGAGGTTCCAATGTATTCTCTGTAGGTTCCAATGTCTTGGTCTTTTGAATAACGATAAAATATTAACAAACTCTTATCTGCTTTATGGAGATTCAGATACATTTGATGTTTTTTTAAGTTCGTTTGTCATGGAATTGTCTCACACTACCAGACACAAAGACACACACTACCAGACACAAAGACACACACTACCAGACACACAGACACACACGACCAGACACACCCACACACACACAACCACTCCCACACACACAACCAGACAACAACCAATACTGACAGAATGTATTATTCATAATTGTAATGGCATTTTGTAATGCTGTGTTGCACACTATCATTCTCAAGACTATATATATATATATATATATATATATATATATATATATATATATATATATATATATATATATATATATATATGTATATATATATATATATATATATATATATATATATATATATATATATATATATATGTATATATATATATATATATATATATATATATATATATATATATATATATATATATATACACACATATATATATATATATATATATATATATATATATATATATATATTTTTTTTTAACCTATACATATATAATGTGTGTGTGTGTGTTTGTGTGTGTGTGTGTGTATGAACACATAGATTAATACACATAAGAATAATAGAAGCCAAGCATATATATACACGCTAACTCAGATATCAAGCGAGAGTACTGAGAGAATACACATGTTTACGCAGTCATGACTCCAATAGGAACTATGTCCATCACCTGATCAAACAACCATTATTACCCCTCACCATATTTTTCAAACCAGTTTCATTCATTTCCACTAGAACTATATATATATATATATATGTTACTTTCTACATTTTTTACTTTTTTTACCATGATTCATCATCTTCTTGATTTGATTTTTGAAAGGCGTACTGGAGCCTCCAATTTTTTTTTTAATCCACAAGTGACAAAAAAAATTATCTAATTTTGAAAGTCAGATTTTTGAGACGGAGAGGCGTCACCATGACAGGTAATATTTCAGTTTGTTTAACCCCTACTTTATTACCACCATTTTTATTGCATGTTTTTTTTAAAAGCATGTTTTGAATGTATTTTTATTAAACCAAATAATACTAATATTTTGACCTTTTTATATTCTCTCATTAAAATTTTATATTTCTTGATTGATCATTTCGCATCATAGCCTGACATAGAAGTTTGTACATATTATATATATATATATATATATATATATATATATATATATATATATATATATATATATATATATATATATATATATATATATATATATATATATATATATATAATATATATATATATATTCTCGTAGCCTGAATTGTGAGTTTACCTCTGCGCCTAGGCCGCCTCCCCCCCCCTCTCCCCTCATACGTAGAGTCTCAGGGTTTCCATCGTCACAAGTATACCGTCACTAGTTTACCGTCAAAAGCATACACGCACTCTACTGTCCCACTTATCGACGGGGAGATGCATGGTACTGTCAGCCAATCTAAGAGTTTACTGAATTCAAATTAGTTAGCGAATTGGGACAAAAATTATGGTGTGACAAATATAGTTTGCTTATAGTTAGCGACGGGAAATACATGGAATTACCATAATATATAGAGTTTATTGGGTGATATATTAATCCGTGATTAATGGTATTACCAGTAGATTTTATTGGACTATATTTTAATAACTAAATGGGTTATGATTTAATATGTGATTAATGGTATTACTAGTAAATGTTCGTTGGATTATGCTTTATTGATCAGTCATTTAGGTTAAGGGGGTTATAAAGGGCAGGTAATTGCCCATTAAGAGGCATCGAAAAGGTTTATGACAATTTAATTAAGGGGAGATAATCAAGTATATAGATATTAGTGCGTATATCTGGGAGAAGATTATTAGCCATACACAAATATATTTCAGTATATCTTTTGATTTATAAACAATATATGACATGATTCTTGGGATCACTAGTTAAAAGAATATTTCTACATGAGCAGGAAAAGTAAATATGTGCTTTGTCATATATCGGTATGTGCTAATGGTAGGAGAAAATTATTTATTATAAATGAATAAAAGCAGGAAGTTTTACATTGAATTTTAATTTTAGTATTATGAAAGAAAACGGGTGAATGTCTGTACGTATGACTGACTTAATCAGGAACTTTATCCGATCCTGATCGTTATCCTATCTCGTTATCTTATCTCGTTGTCCTATCTCGTTGTCCTGGCCCCCAATATACAGCCCACATCTAGGACATGCATTGGTACTCCCAAACTACTGTAGCACAGAGAGAGAGAGAGAGAGAGAGAGAGAGAGAGAGAGAGAGAGAGAGAGAGAGAGAGAGAGAGAGAGAGAGAGAGAGAGAGAGAGAGAGAGAGAGAGAGAGAGAGAGAGAGAGAGAGGCAGAGAGAGACTGAGAGAGAGACAAGGCAATTGAGGTGGAAGCTGCTTGACGTCGCCTGAGACAGATATTCCCGATGTGATGCCCAGGAAGGGATGCTAGAGTGAGTCTGGAGATTAAACCGTGACGGTGGTGTCTGGAGACAGACCCGGGGGGGCAGGGGGGAGATGATGATGATGATGATGATATTATTCACCAGCTGACACACTCTCCACGACCCCCTCACAATCACGCACCATTACCGAGATCACATGCTCGCCCCCGACGGGCGATAGGCCACAACGTCTCTCGACAGCTTGGGGCTTAATTAATCCTGAATAAAATATTGGAAATTTGAAGTTAGTGTGTGAGGGGTGACAGTCCCTGACAGTGGTAATGTATTGATAGCTTCTGTCCGCCTGGGGGAATATTGCTTCTGTCCGCCTGTCCGTTTCTGTCCACGTAGGGAATATTACTTCTGTCCGCCTGGGGAAGATCGATGCTGTCCGCCGTACCTACCTCCGTCAGTTACCATTAAAATGTCCCACTTAAAATCTCATCAAATATTCAAACTACAGATTTACCGTTTTTACTGAAAAAGCTAAAATCGGCCTACAAGTTCAGATGATTATAATAGAAATCAATAAATTAAAAAAAAAATGAAACTAACTCTGAATTTTTTATAGTCATCAATGTGATTCCGCAACTTATCTCAGAATGTACGAATCATTTTCCAAACTGCATCGCTGATATCCGTATACATTTGTAATTCTCGGATAGAATGACAAGTATCACGGGACGCTGCGAGCGTGAGAGAACGTGGACGTAGTGAGAGCTGAGAGTGACAAGAGCGGGAATGTCAGAGGTGTGTGTGGATCTGTCAGGTGTGGACGAGGGGAGGAAGAAGACATGGTCCGGGTCTTCCTTCATTTAAGGAGAGAGGGGAAAGATAGTAAGCAGAGGGGGGGAGGGCGAGGAAAGGTGGTAGGCAGAGGGGGAAAGTAACGCACCAGATACGAATGCTTGTGAAGCTGTAGTATCTTGAGATCTATCTTGAGGTTATCTTGAGAATATTTCGGGGCTTTTAGTGTCCCCGCGGCCCGGTCCTCGACCAGGCCTCTTCGACCAGTAGGACGAAGATGGGTAAGGATGGGTAGGGCGAAGGTAGGGAGAGGAGGAGGAGGAGTAGGAGAAGGGTGACGTAGACGTAGGGTAGGGAGAGTGTCGGTAGCAGTGGCACAGCTCGCAATAGTGCCAGTGGCAGTGACACTGGCACTACCACCATCACCTCAGACCCGCACACTCCACAGACACATATAAAACAATGATTTGCGCATGAGAGAAGTAGAAAAGTGGAGAGAAGGAGGAATGCTAAACAAAGCAGGAAGGAGAGTAGGGTACGAGAGAAGGGTACCTTCTTAAGGGTGACTTAAGAAGCTGAGGGATCTGTCTTGAGCAGCGCTGGAAACCCGGGCGTAGAGAGCATTTGATAAACCATCCTCAGGCGAGGTCCGGAATTCTTGTTCTCTGGGCTATGTAATCACAGAGTTCTGTGCTTCACTAATACCGAGCACAGAACGCGTCCGTCCGGCTGCATGATCACCTCACTATGATGCAGAACGCATTCACTGATTGGCTGAATTATAATCTCATGCATTTCAGAGGAACCCGCTGATTGGTTGACATTCAGGCATATCGCAGGGACCAGCTAACTGGCTGAAGGATATACTAAGGCATATGAAAGGTCCTCATTGATTAGCTGAAATTCAGGCATATCAGAGAAACCCGCTGATTGGTTGAATAATAAACTCAGGCATATCAAAGGAATCCGCTGATTGGTTGAGGAATCAAGTCTGCCGGATTAACTGTCCTGTTTACCGACAGAGGTGAAGGACCTGTATGACCTGTATGACCTGGCCTGTAACAAGTGTTCCGCTCCGAGCCTAACTACCCTAAACACCCCCTGGTCGTAGCGCATCTCTTTAACCTTAAATTACTAATTACAGTCTTAGGTAAAGGTTTATCTTGTACATGTTAGCTTGTCTGAACACTGGCGGCCGCATTCACAGTAAAGCTGAACCTCTTTTAATAACACAATACCAATCACATATCGCACGGGAGAGGACTACACACTCATGATAATGGGAGTATGTTCTCGCCCCACTTTGGGTGGTGTTGGGTGTATGTCCTGGCCCCACTTTGGGTGGTGTTGGGTGTATGTCCTGGCCCCACTTTGGGTGGTGTTGGGTGTATGTCCTGGCCCCACTTTGGGTGGTGTTGGGTGTATGTCCTGGCCCCACTTTGGGTGGTGTTGGGTGTATGTCCTGGCCCCACTTTGGGTGGTGTTGGGTGTATGTCCTGGCCCCACTTTGGGTGGTGTTGGGTGTATGTCCTGGCCCCACTTTGGGTGGTGTTGGGTGTATGTCCTGGCCCCACTTTGGGTGGTGTTGGGTGTATGTCCTGGCCCCACTTTGGGTGGTGTTGGGTGTATGTCCTGGCCCACTTTGGGTGGTGTTGGGTGTATGTCCTGGCCCCACTTTGGGTGGTGTTGGGTGTATGTCCTGGCCCCACTTTGGGTGGTGTTGGGTGTATGTCCTGGCCCCACTTTGGGTGGTGTTGGGTGTATGTCCTGGCCCCACTTTGGGTGGTGTTGGGTGTATGTCCTGGCCCCACTTTGGGTGGTGTTGGGTGTATGTCCTGGCCCCACTTTGGGTGGGTGTTGGGTGTATGTCCTGGCCCCACTTTGGGTGGTGTTGGGTGTATGTCCTGGCCCCACTTTGGGTGGTGTTGGGTGTATGTCCTGGCCCCACTTTGGGTGGGTGTTGGGTGTATGTCCTGGCCCCACTTTGGGTGGGTGTTGGGTGTATGTCTTGCGCCCACTATGGGTGGGTGTTGGGTGTATGTCTTGCGCCCACTTTGGGTGGGTGTTGGGTGTATGTCTTGCGTCCACTATGGGTGGGTGTTGGGTGTATATCCTCACCCCACTTTGGGTGGGTGTTGAGTGTATCAGGACTAAGGGGAACATGGCTGGTGTGAGTACGGTCCTTAGCTTCCATACTGTTAGCTTGTTCATTCCTCTTAGTTCCAAGACTGTCAGCTTGTGATATGCCAGCCACGAGGAAACCTTTTTTCCTTTCTCCCGTTGGTGCTTGATCTCCAGATGATCTATGACATTCTAGTTTGTATCTCTGCCACACGTGTTATCTTGAGTGTATCTTGGCCTGAGAAAGCTTAGAATTTCCAGTAGATATCGGCACACTTACCCCACTCTTACCCATCATTTACATGTCACCTCTTGTGTCAGCAGTCTTATCTTCTCTCTTATAATGAATAATAGTACTGTACTTTTTAACCCTGTTAGAATGATCAATATTTTTCTTTAGTAACTCTTATGAGCTTTAAAACAAGAAATATCAACATTTCTATTAACTCAACAGAACCCTTTTTGTCTTGTCTTTGTTATAAACAAAGCATATCATAATTTTATATAGTGTATACACTTGTAATTTTTATATTACTGTATTGAACTACCTATATTTTAAGCTATGTTCTTTGCATAGTAAGTACAATATGTACTTATGCATTTTGCCTTGCATAAACAACTTTCTTGCAAGTGTGTGTGTGTGTGTATGTATATATATATATATATATATATATATATATATATATATATATATATATATATATATATATATATATATCAAGTATTAATAACCACTTGCTGCCTTGATATTTACCCATATTTTGTAAGCATAAAATGCATTAGCGTTTTTGTGTAACTGTTTATAAATATGCTCAAAATGTATCCATAATTTTACACAGATTTTTCAGACAGTATGTAATAGTCATTTTTGTCTAACATTTGTTGCATATTAAAGTCAAATATATCCTAATATTCTATGAAGGAAGTAAGTGTAGTTCACGTCACTGTCAGAGAAGGCATTCATGTCTCCTTCCGGAGGGTCGACTCTTCTTGACGGGTATTTGACTCCTCCTACAGTGCCGCCGTCGTGGCTAGAGGCCCCCAGGGACACCTCTGTCACCCTTGGAGGCGCCGTGGTCGTCCCCTGCCACGCCCAGGGCTTCCCCACTCCCAAGGTGACCTGGAGGAGAACCAGAGGTAAGATGGGAAGGGGAAGGTGGAAAGGGGGAAATGGGAGGGAGGGAGGTTTGGCCCCTCTGGAGTGGTGAGAGAGAGAGAGAGAAGGACTCAGCAATATTGTTCAAGAAGACAATGGGATAGAAAAAGAGCCACAGGGATAGATTGGTGCCCAGTAATAAAGTGATGGTTAGAGCGTGAAACAAAGGGATAGAGACGGGTAGAGGGATAGGTCACAGGGATAGAAATGGAGAAATGGTTAGAGAGAGGGTGGCAGGGATTGTGGCTGTTAGAGAGAGGACTCAGGGATAGGGATGGTCAGGCAATCATCACCTTTCCGTCTTAAACATCCCGTCGCTTGTGAAGCTTGCACCTGATATATTATCTCAATCATTACTGAACAAGCATTCAGACTGGCAGAGGTCTATTAAACAGAAACATTAACTTGATATTAAGTAGGGAATATTATATTTATTATTTATTCTTAACTTTACATCTTAGTGTTTTTCTTACCTTTGACTTATTCTTACCGTTTTCTTTCTATTACTTGCTTCTCAATTTCTTGTTTTATTTTGTTTATCTCTTCCACTCTGTTTCCATTACACGACTTGGTAATGGTCCTCGACGGACCGAAACGTCGTCGTCTCCTCATCTTCTGATGTGTGGTTTGGTCATCATATCTTCAGTCACGTTATTGTGACTCATCGTCTGTATATTATTAGAGAAGCTGAATTGCTTATACTGTGTGTTAATATTCCTAGACATTATTAATACTGTGTCAATATTAATGTTGGGAAATGTTAGATTTTATGTAAATATTTCTTGATGGGGAGCTGGTCGACTTTCCAATGTCCATATTTGTATTTTCTTTGATCTCTATGTCACTTTCTCCGGCCGTCTCGCCATTTCTCCTTCTTTCTTTTTTGCACCTCCTCCTTGTCTCATTCCCTTCTTTCTTGTCCATCTAGTTGTTCACACTTTCTCCTCAGCTTCTCTCCTCAGCCACCCTTCTCACTACCTCATGTCTTCCTCTCCCTTTCTTCACTTTTCCTTCCTTCACCTATCCTCTACCCTCTATTCTTTCCCTGACCCCTGCTCTCTCTCTCTCGTTCCTATTTCCTCCTTGCTTCCCTCCCTTGTTTGTTCCATTACTCCCTCTCTTTCTTCTCCCTCCCTCCTTCTCTCCATCTTGAATCCGTCACTCCCTCCTTTCCACTGCTTCTCTCCCCTCTTCCTCCTACTCTACCTTTTGCAAACTAATAATTTTCTAATAATTCTTACCAGTTTTTTCCAACAATTATTATCGATACTGATATTTGAATTCTAAGAGAAAAATGTAATTTTAATGGCCGATTTTTATTAACAAAACACAATTATGCAATTTACACTCTTCCTCCCCAATGAATTTTTTCGGGAGGTATTACCTTTGTTAATCTTGTGTGTCAGAGTTCACCTTTTTAACGTTAATTACAAAGGAATATATTGTGACATTAAGGACACGGAAGTGGTCCTTAAAAATGGGGGATTTTAACCCAGTTATGACAAGGGGAGTTAAAGATCTTTCTTATACTTTAACTAATGGATGTATTTTTATATTAATCCGTTGCATTTTGTCATTGCAAAGGAAACAATGAGGTGATACAATATTTTTTTCCATAATTATCACATTTGACTTGTATTATTTTTATTATTATTTTTATTTTTATTTTTATTACACAGAGAGTAATCACACTGATGAGTCAATGATAAAATTATTTTTCTCATTTTTTATTATTATTATTATTTATTTATTATTATAAGTATTTAAATGTTCTTCCATATCACTCAAAGTATTGTTATAAGTATTTTTATCGTTATCAATAATAATATTAATAATAATAGTGGTGGTTGTAGTCAGTCTTGTGCTTGTAGTACCATTACAACCACTGTAATATACAATAGCAGAAAATACATTAAAAAATATATAAATACAAAAATAAAATAATATAAAATACAAAATAGCAACCACACCATAAAGAGCAGTTAACACAGTAACTATTGGCTGCTACAATAGGGGGTTATCTTTCAGAGGAGCAGCCCGGCCAGTACAGCCCTATCTTAGGGGGCGGGCTTGGCCTGGGCGTGGGCGTAGCCAACAACGGCAGCCTGGTGGTGGTGGGCGCGCGGGCGGAGGACGAGGGCCAGTATCTGTGTGAAGCTTCGAATGGTGTGGGCGGCGGTCTGTCGGCCCTGGTCAAGCTCACTGTTAATGGTGAGTGTGTGTATGTATATATATATATATATATATATATATATATATATATATATATATATATATATATATATATATATATATATATATATATGTCGTACCTAGTAGCCAGAACGCACTTCTCAGCCTACTATTCAAGGCCCGATTTGCCTAATAAGCCAAGTTTTCCTGAATTAATATATTTTCTCAAATTTTTTTCTTATGAAATGATGAAGCTACCCATTTCATTATGTATGAGGTCATTTATTTTTTATTGGAGTTAAAATTAACGTAGATATATGGCCGAACCTAACCAACCCTACCTAACCTAACCTAACCTAACCTATCTTTATAGGTTAGGTTAGGTTAGGTAGCCAAAAAAGTTAGGTTAGGTTAGGTTAGGTAGGTTAGGTAGTCGAAAAACAATTAATTCATGAAAACTTGGCTCATTAGGCAAATCGGGACATGCATAGTAGGCTGATAAGTGCGTTCTGGCTACTAGGTACGACATATATATATATATATATATATATATATATATATATATATATATATATATATATATATATATATATATATATATATATATATATATATATATTATACAGCTATTACATTTTTTAGATTTTGAATAGAATTGCATTTTTTGTGATTGGTTGCATTAATTACCCGGTGGGAGCTTTGGCGAGTTCCAATGTTTTTATTTCATAAAATTTGCATATATTTCCTGCTCCCGTTCGGTGCTTTTTGTGTCATATTTGTAATGTTATTATGTGATGGTCGCTGTGGCAAAGTATATTATATTCACATATCAGTATATTATATTCCCAAGTAAGTATATTACATTCAAATGTTAAATATATTCAGCAAACGTTATTATCTCTGTCCTGTATTAAGCAACCCGTCCTCTCTATTAATGCATCTCATTGTGTACGGTATAGTCCCCCCAACATACAAATTAGAAACAACTATGAACAGCAGCATTTCACAAGTATCCACGTTTTCTATGCATTGGTAGGTTGGGTTAGGTAGGTGGGCTGGGGTTCGTGTGGGTGTCTGGTTAGGTTAGGACTCTGTATTTTATACGTTGTGGCTAATCAATGGAACATTATAACACAACTGAGCGTCGTCTACATCTGGCCATGAGAGCCTCCACCAGGCTCAGGTGTGTGTGTGTGTAATTACCTAAGTGTAGTTACCTTAGTGTAGTTACAGGATGAGAGCTACGCTCGTGGTGTCCCGTCTTCCCAGCACTCTTTGTCATATAACGCTTTGAAACTACTGACGGTCTTGGCCTTCACCACCTTCTCACCTAACTTGTTCCAACCGTCTACCACTCTGTTTGCAAAAGTGAATTTTCTTATATTTCTTTGGCATCTGTGTTTAGCTAGTTTAAATCTATGACTGTGTGTGTGTGTGTGTGTGTGTGTGTGTGTGTGTGTGTGTGTGTGTGTGTGTGTGTGTTTGTGTGTGTGTGTGTGTGTGTACATGTGACTAACGCCGTTATTGCGTGATACAGACTTGCAATAGTGTTTATGCGGTGACACCCAACTCACAACCTTTCATTTAGATAATACAGTTGAAGTCATCAGTCATTTAGGCAGCACTTAACATACATTATGTAAAGTTAACACATCATCTAGCCAGGAAACATCAATTATAGCGGCCTATACGTGGAGTGTCCTCCCAGACGGCTCTAAATTTATGCATGGCACAATTCTCTTGCATGTGCTGTATTTCCTTACTCTATTTGAAGTCAAATGTTGATATAATGCAAGAATTTTGGACATCTTTTGGATAGGGGCCTGACAGCTGAGTGGACAGCGCTCGATATTCGTATTCCTGAGATTCCGGGTTCGATCCCCAGTGGAGGCGGAAACAAATAGGCAGAGTTTCTTTCACCCTGATGCATCTGTTCACCTAGCAGTAAATAGGTACCTGGTAGTAAGACAGCTGCTACGGGCTGCTTCCTATGGATGTGTAACAAAAAGGAGGCCTGATCGAGGACCGGGCCGTGGGGACGTTAAGCCCCGAAATCATCTCAAGATAACCTCTCAAGCAGATCTCTTATCATCAACAATATAAGAATGTGGAGCATTTGATGCGACGTTAGCTAAGACCTCTGTTTAAACAGCTAAGTTGACACACAGTCTAGGATGTAATGTTCATGTGTGTACCAATCAACTGGTTTACAGATTCCAGTGTGTGTGTGTGTGTACTCACCTAGTTGTACTCACCTAGTTGTGCTTGCGGGGGTTGAGCTCTGGCTCTTTGGTCCCGCCTCTCAACTGTCAATCAACAGGTGTACAGGTTCCTGAGCCTATTGGGCTCTATCATATCTACACTTGAAACTGTGTATGGAGTCAGCCTCCACCACATCACTTCCTAATGCATTCCATTTGTCAACCACTCTGACACTAAAAAAGTTCTTTCTAATATCTCTGTGGCTCATTTGGGCACTCAGTTTCCACCTGTGTCCCCTAGTGCGTGTGCCCCTTGTGTTAAACAGCCTGTCTTTATCAACAGGCTGTTTAGCCTGTGTGTGTGTGTGTGTGTGTGTGTGTGTGTGTGTGTGTGTGTGTGTGTGTGTGTGTGTGTCACATAAAACAGTGAACGTCCCTGTGTTGATACATCAGGCAAGCCAAAATGTAGTGACCATGAACATACTCTTATTAAGCTCAGTATGTAACCAAATTGTCAAACCACGAGAAAAAATATGACAATTAATCAATGTTTGGATATTATTCATAGTTTTTTCTTTTATAAATAAATAATGTACTTTAAAAATGTTTAAATTAAGTCAATTATATACTACAGTACGATGTGAATAAAGTTATTAATTAACAAGTTCCCCAAAAAGACACATGTGAATGAAAGAGACATCGTTTGGGTCCTCCCTGGACCGTTGTCAAGTCAAGACTGTGAGAGGGAGGCTCTCAGACGTCTTCACTTGCATGTGTGTGAGTTATGTTATTGTTCAGCCACGTCATTGTGACTGATATCTGCCTTGATTGATGGCTGTCTTGATTGAGGTCTGCCTTGATTGATGGCTGTCTTGATTGATGGCTGTCTTGATTGAGGTCTGCCTTGATTGATGGCTGTCTTGATTGAGGTCTGCCTTGATTGAGGTCTGCCTTGATTGATGGCTGTCTTGATTGAGGTCTGCCTTGATTGAGGTCTGCCTTGATTGATGGCTGTCTTGATTGATGGCTGTCTTGATTGAGGTCTGCCTTGATTGATGGCTGTCTTGATTGATGTCTACCTTGATTGAGGTCTGCCGTGATTGAGGTCTGTCTTGATTGAGGTCTGCCTTGATTGATGTCTACCTTGATTGATGAGTTACTCTTGCCTTGTCTGCAGCGCCACCCAGGTTCGACTCCGATCTCCAGCAGACAGTGACGGTGAGACGGGGGGCGCGGGCGTCACTCCTCTGTCACGCCCACGGTGACCCGCCCATCACGCTCATCTGGCATGCCACCCACACCCACGCCCACGACCTCAGGTAACAGGCAAAAAAAAAAAAACATGACTTCACCCAACACATAAACCCAATGTAAACAAAAAATCATAATTTTTCGACGCTAGCAAGAGCTCGGATGTCATTTTCAACACTTTCCAAAAATCATGAATCGTGTCCAATATTATTCGAACGCTTGTGTAATGTTCACAAAGTTACTTGTACCACTAAAATGCCCCATTGTTTAAATTACCGTCTAACCTGTCTCACGTTCCTCATCACTCGCTGGGCTGTTTCTGTCGCTAGCATGGCTTGTGTTACTCTTTTTCTATTGCTGTCACGTTCTGTCATAGTCACCGCAAGCATCCCGCGTTTTCTTTGCTCTTCTAATACGGACTTTGATAAATTGTTGTTTAGTGAATGTTGTCTTGACTGTATACACATACATACATACATACATACATGTATGTATGTATACATACATATATGTATGTATGCATACAGAAATAA